TTCCTTTTTTTTTTTTTTTTTTTTTGGATACTTTATTTATAAGAAGCGTGGAGTACGCAGATATTGAATACTAAGAATATTTAAGAACAATCCATATTTTTATAATATGCTTTATTGGAATGTCTAATATCTAATCTGGTTTGGGTCACATAGTCACGAAAAGAGCAGAACTAATCTTGTTGCGTTCTGTCGATCGTAATCGTGTGTTTCTAGTAAAAAAAAATGATTCAAGTTTGGGCGAAGTATGAGAAAATCGTTATTGATGTGCGCGATTTCCTCGTTTCAACTTTGTACGAAATATTTTCTTGAAACAGTAGAAGTTTGTTTGTTAAAATAAGAGCAAGATTGTCGTATAAAAATTCTTCAATCATGTTTTATACTTGAATTAATTTTTTATTGCAATTTTTGTTATAGTCTTACCATCGATAAAACGGTACAATTTAATTTAATTCAATTCAACCACGGTCGATAGTAACGCAGTCAAATTTATCGCCGTAAATACTGATGGTATTAAAAATTGATGTGTGCACCTGGTGATTCGATTCGTGTGTAACGTAGAAAGATTAATAGAGAATCAATGTTTATCTGGATGGTTTAATTATGCAGTGAGTCGAACGATATATGACCGTTTACTTGTGATTGCAGACATTAATCAGTTAATCATGGAAGTTACAATGATTTACTTGCAGTTGTAAATCAATTAAATGGAAGTTTTCCTTTCGCGTGTATCAAAAGATAAATAATAGTACGAATGATAAATAATTATAATCTGTAGGTATAAGTACACGTTAAAACATCATTAATCAGTTTATCATACCATACACGATAATAATTTATAAACATGAGGATATAAATCGTAAAATAAGGATAAAGAACGTAAATCATCTGAGGAAGTTAGGAATACTGTTATTGTGGGATAAAATGGATATTGAGATTATTATTCGACGTTGTCCTAGAACTTTCAAGAAAAACACTCGATAAATGTGTCAACAAGCGCTGCTTGAACAATTAAATAACAAGTTCCATAAAGTAACCTCGATCATTATGTGCTCTAATGAACCGCCCTTCGTTCATTCTTATTTCCTTAGATTCGCAAACCAAATAAATAGAACGCAAGATATCAGAAGAAGAACAGTGAAATTGCTAGATCCGGGTAGGCATTTCCTTTAATCTTATCGCCTGATGAGCGACTTCTACAGAGACTACATATACATATGTGTTGTATATTTTTCTTTGTTAGTTGCCTGGTGAGCTTTAGTTTGACAAATCAGATGCCCGATACCCACGCCACCTACTACTGCTTTAAAAATAAATAAAACTGGATGCTGTCGCTATACAACACGAAAGAAGAGGTTAATCGCTGATTTGGCCAATGATAATCTTTCGAAAAGAATTAAAAAAGAATAGATTTACGACTATGACCAATCGTGTCAATGAAATAAGGGAATTAAACGTTATGCTCTTTATCTTTCTGCTCTGCGATGTATCCTTTATTAGAAATGTGAAGAACAACCAATGTGTTTATTAATAATCTACTGCAAATATGCGTGCTTTATTTTTAACTGTTTCAAGACGTTAGATACCACGTGGCTTTCATTCTGCTTCGGCATCGGTTCTATTACTTTAGTTTCTGTCTTTCGCTCTCTTTTTCTATCTTTTATTCGCCTCTCTATCTCTATCCTTCGCGTCTCCATCCCCACCACGAGCTTCATCCTCCACTACTCGGACTTCTACCTCTCACTGATAATGAAGGATGTTTCAATTGTCTCAGCCGAAGATTTTCAAATAATACAATTTTGAAAAGTTAGAATTATCTCATATGCCAAATTGTAGGTCCATAAATGGAAGAGACTAATTGCAAATGACAGAATTCCCAGTGAAAGTTTTCATCCGGATGATTAGCGATAGAATCGTAACAAAATTATGGAAACTTATCGACGTAATGTCACGGGAAAGAATGATTTGTCACGAGCATCATAGTGTTATTCTACGTCTCTGGATCGATAAAGATCTGCAAAAAAAAATAGCCACAAGAATGGCCCTCGTCTTAAAATTCAAGGTCACAATTTTTCTTATTGCATCGTATTCTTCTGATGAGGATAACAAATTTCAGAGGAACACGGTTCGTAACTCAACTGTCCTCTTGGAAAAAAAATGTTAAAGTTCCATTAGCTTTCGAACTTATTTTATATGTAATAATAATATTTACATTTTGCAGTCAAATACAAAGGAAATAGCATTTAGTGTCGCACGTAAATGCCCCAAAACCACGATTATAAATCCCATATCTTCTATTCTTCCTTTCTTGCTATTTAAGCAACCGGACTCACATTTCTATATCCCGGCCAAGTTTCTGAGCAAAATTGCGCCTTAAATTTAGATGATGAAAAAATTGGTAGGTCGGTCGATGATAATTCTCCATCTCACACTAGTCAACCAACCTATCAATTTTTGAATGAAATGATTGGATCATGGTGAATAGGATGCAGACTTGCTTCTCATCTGTGGCTTGCTCGTTCGCCAGTTCTGACACAAATGGCTTTTAGAAGTCGTGAAAGATATCGTTCATGGTTTGGGTAGATGAGTTACATCCGTTAAATAATTAGAACATCGGATTAAATATAGTTTTTATTGCCTAAAGTCAATGCGTAATATTGGATAGAAAATTGGCCGAAATATAGAATGTAAATAACGAGAAGAAAAGAAAGAGAAAAAGAAAGGAAGATATAGGATATGTAAAGATGCATCTGGCGTATGTACGTGCGATAACAGGTGCTATTCCTACATGTGACTGCAAAATGTAAACGCATTACAAATAAAGTTGAGTTGCGATCGATGGTTCCTTTAAGGCTTTGATCTCCGTGATGAGTACAATACGATGCAATAAGAACAAAAATTTGGCTTTGAATTACAAGACAAAGTTTAATTTTGCAGTTACTTTTTTGCAAATCAATACCGATCCAAAGTCGTAGAATAACATTGTGATGATCGTGATAGATTATTTTCAAATACCCCGTGTAACTGTAGATTCCGATCGTGGAAGTATACGATTTTCAATGTACGTCATAGATCATCGACATAGAAAGGTATTAGATGAACGCAAGATTTACTGCGACACCTATTGACTTCTTGAAGATGTTTGTATCGTATCCTGATAATATAATTATTGTGCAGATGTGTAAATTGTCCAACGATTTGACATCTTGTATAAAAAATATTAAATAATTTGTATCTCTATGCATCTGAATGTATTTGCATACCTATAACATCCTAAGAATTTTTCTTCTTCTATACAATTTGGGCAGTTACATTCTATAAGACTATTCGAAGAAGATCGATTTATTAAATATGAATGTATTTTAAGGATTGTCAATACATTTTTGGAATTGAGTTTTTGTGTATTTAATAATACACAAGAATAAAATTCATTTTTGACACTCTATAATACTCTATATTAATAGTGGTATTAAAATTTATGATGGATGTTATAATCGATCTTCAAGTAAAAAGACTCGATAGCTTCGTAATTTGAAAGATCAATGTGCGTCAAGATTAGAAAGATTAAAGTATCATTTATACATTATAATATAGACTATAATAACTCATTGTTTCTTAAAAATTGTAAATTGTTTAATTTTCGTAATTAAAAAAGATAAATAAAAGTAAATGAATGAATTGTATCTATTACTTTAAGTTTAAGGATAATTCTCTAATTAGTTAGTCGCGTAATTTAATAGTTATAATAACTACAAAGCATCTTGAAAATCCATATTTTGAAATATTTGCTTTTATTACCTTTAACATCTGATTGTAAATTCTTAATTTGTTTAACTATGTAATTTTACTAAGTTCTAGATTTTCGTTAAATTCGCTCAAGTATTAACGCGTGTATTACAAGATAATAAATTAAGTCTAAGGAAAGGTGTATAATATCTTTAATGATTTTGTACAAAGATCAAGTTCTTCATTCAGGAATGTGTGTACAGTAATATCAATTAGTCTGACACTGTTTACATTGTATCCCCTTTTTCTTACATCAACTTCTCTTTTATTCATTTTCTTCGGCTATTCACCATCAACTTGTGTTATTAGTAAATATTGTGCAGTCTTAACGATTCTCTTAAAGTTTACGCACAAAATATACCATTAAATATCAAAACATATCAGACAAAATATGTAAAAGTCACGAATGAATCTAAATACGTATATGCTCATATAAATAGAAGAATAATACAGCGCATATGCGATGTACCAATAAGGTTTCACAATTTACAAATAACGTCACTCAAAATCATGTGTGCATATTCAAATGTGCAATAATTAAATTTAAGAAATACGTACGATACATAACTGCAAGACTGACTTTTAATTTCCTTTTTTATCTGTTTTTTTTTCTTTCTATCCTCTGTGCAATCACAAAGACATATCATGTATATAAAAATGATGTTAAATTTTCTGCTAATACAAAATAGGTTCAAACAAAAGATTATCTTTAAAATTCTATATGACAATTTTCTTCATTATCCAATAACCCATTACTTGTTCTCCCATTCTTCATTGGAGACAGCGATAACGATTTATTGTGATCCAGCCCTAACGTCATCTTAAGTAACTTTAATACACTTTTTTTGTCCGTGCTTTCATTCTCTGTGAACAAATTCCATGCATAATATTGGATTATAAAGTGGGCAAAATTTATAGCACTTACCTTCTTCACCAGTAATCTGTTGTTCAAGATGTAATTTATCCTGAGCTATTTCGTATATGCCTTCTTCTATAGTAGCTTCGCTTAATAATCTAATTATACTAACTGGTCTAAAAATAGTGTCAGATATATTTATAGAGCATACATTTATTTATATTTTTTCAAAGGACATAAATTAGTGATAAAAAGCATACCTTTTCTGACCTACTCTATGACAGCGATCCTCTGCTTGCTTATCATTATAAGGATTAAAGTCAATATCGTGAATTATAACAGTATCAGCAGCAGTTAAATTGATCCCCAAGCCTCCAGCTTTCGTAGATAGTAAAAATATGAATATACTTTCATCCTCCATATACTGATTTATTAAATACTGTCTATCTGTTACTGGTGTGCTTCCATCTAATCTGTTTCCATATTCACATAAAAGAGTAATAATAATGAAAAATATAAAAGATAAAAAGTACAAGTAACACAAACCTTAAGTACGTTCGTCCTCTAATAGTTAAATATTCTTCTAAAATATCTAATATCATGGTGAACTGACTGAAAATTAATACTCGGTGCCCTTCTTCCTTCAGCTTTGGTAGTAACTCGTCCAATATCTTTAACTTTCCAGCTTCTGAAATTAGTTCTTGAGGTAAGCCCAATCCAGCTAAGCTTTTGTACGTTCTTGTTAATTGATTTATTTGATAATCTGACATCCACTGTAAATCTTCAAATACGTAATCTGGGTTTTTCTGCTTATATGAATGTTCCTTTGCTAATCTATTTGATATTACCTAACACAAAATTGTGAATTATTAAAATTACATGTTATAAATTCATTCGTAATAAATGTAAGAAAGGTAACTGCAAAAATACTTTTAATTTGGACTCGTTGTAATAGTCTCGTACTAAAAGAGGATGATTAGCTAATTTTCTCAGCTGCATCATCATTCCAATACCATTAACCTCAGTGCTTTGATCAGCCTCAGCTGAAAATTCAGCAACTAAATTAGTATACATCTTTCGCTGCTTCTCTATCATTGGACACTTAATCACGCGCTCGGTTTTTTCTGGTAAATCTCGAAGGACTTCGGCTTTCAATCGGCGAAGCACAAACGGTCTCATGATTTGCTTCGCATTTTTCACTTGTTCTTGTTCAAACAATGGCTGTTCACTATTTTTCTTAACTGATGGAACTTTCTATAATGTAATACTCATTGTTACATAGTATTTAACTTTCTTTAAAATTATTATTATCATTAGCTATTACTATTACCATATTGAACTTACGGGATTCTTTGAAAATAAACTCTTCAGATCAGCTTGTTTGCCAGCAAACAGTGAAGGCATCACAAATATTAAAAGCGACATCAATTCCAATAAATTGTTTTGCAAAGGGGTACCCGTTAACAAAATTCGATGTTTAGCCTACGGAATAATCGATAATTTGGTTCATGTAAAAAAGAGTACATGCAAAAAAATGTAAAAAAGTGTTATGTAAAAATGCGATGAGGGAACACATACATTAATTCTAACTAGGTTTTCGTATCTGATAGTACCCATATTCTTCAACATATGAGCTTCATCGAAAACAACATAATGAATAGGCATAACACGAAACAATCTTCGTTCTTCCGGTGTACTGCTAATTAAATTATATGTAGTTAATAATACGTCAACATCATCCAAATCACCATTTCGCCAACCTAATCTCATCTCTTTTCGTTCTTCCTGAGAACCATAATATTGTACAACTTTCAAACCGGGCGACCATCTCTCCAACTCATTGTTCCAATTTTCTACAAGGATAAAATAAAAACGGATTACAAACAAAATAATATAGGCCAAAGCAACCTATAATGTGTATCTACCCATCGTAGAACTAGGAACGACGATTAAATGTGGTCCATCTTTCTCATCTCTGAGGCCAGCCTCTTTCAAATATGTAAGAAAAGCTATTACTTGCACTGTTTTTCCCAAACCCATTTCATCCGCAAGTATACCGTTAACATTTTGAGTGTGCATCACAGCAAGCCAATTTAATCCAACCATCTGATATGGAGCTAATTTTAAATTTGAGGATAATCTCTTGGGTTGACTTGTGATAGCCGATGCTCTTGCAGCCACAGCTCTTTCAATATTTGTAGACAAACGGAGGCATTTTTTCATGAGAGCTTCTACTGCATGTCTGGTAGCTAGCAATTCCTGTTTCATTATAATATATAATTTATTTTAATAACATTGCAAATAAAAACTAAAAATTTTACAATTTTTTTTTGAGCTGCTTACCTGAGCTGAATTCAAAAGCTCTGTATCTAGATATTTATTGTTCTGGAACTTTTGAACTAAGTCTCTCCAATCTTCAAATGGCCTTGCTTCTTTGATAGCATTTGCTTTCTTTTGAGAACATTGAGACATTAACAGTAATTCTGATATAAGAGCATTTTGCATAAATTCTAAGACTGCTTTCTTATCAGCTGTAAGCTCATTAGATATTTCCATATCTGAATCTTCATCACTATAAACATTTGAAAATAAATGCTAAAATTAATGGAACATACCAAATCTCTAGATGCATACCTATCAAACACTTTATCTTTAAAGGTTGCTTCATCTGAATCGATGTCTACATCTTCTTCGTTATTCAATTTTCGTTTTTTTTTCTTATTGGTTCTAGAAGGTTCTTTAGCAGTCCTCTTCCTACTATTTCTAGTATCTTCATCACCTTCGTCACTATTCCAATTTATGTTATTGGATATGTCCTACATAATAATGGAAAATTAAATTCTCATTCAGCATAAGATGATTTGCTATTAGAATAAAAAAATACCCATATACTTCGAACAAACTTAATTTCATTATCATCAACACTTTATAATTGAGCAAATACTTTATTATAAAACATTAGTAATATAAAGCTATCATATGATATATATATATACCTTATCTGTATGATCTAAAGAGCTTATTTTTTTAACAGGACTCCCTGCATCGCTGTCACTGTCTTCAATTACATTGACTGCCTTACGCCGAAATTGTATCTTAGATCCCATCAAATTACTGTCATCATCCGCTAAATAAAAACACTGTGATTATTTACTCACAGTTACATTGGAATACAAATATTAATAACATTGTCATCATCAACTAATATGTGTAAAGTGTATTTTTCTAATTTCTTAATTTTTACATTCAAATAAAATTATAATTAATTAAAAATAATGATTAAAAATATATAATAATCATATATAGGAAATTATTCTTCAATAACATAACAACAAAAGATGGACACCGACTGTATTGACCTAAAAATTGAAATTCGTGAATAAATAGACTCTTACACATGTTCAACGGTTTCAGTTGTTTCTTCTGGAATCGAAATTGTCGTAAGTTTCCCGAAAGGCTTGGACTACTCGCATCTGTTTTCGGTGAATTCGAATCCGACATCTCGTTAAACGAATGAGAGACGCTGGCGAAAACACATTTTTGTAAAGGCAGCTTTTAAACTTGTTTGACAGGTGCATTCGTAAAAGCTCCGAGAGATAGATGCCCAACAGGTTAATATAATTACCTATTTACCTGTAATTCCTCTTATTTCGCTTCCGAATTTCTTAATGACTATATAATTTCCTTCATACCCTTTTATTATTTCTTATCTTCCAGAAATCAAAACGAAAAGAATACAAAAAGAGAATAATTATGCTTACTAGAACTTATAAAAAGTGTAATTCATAAATCAGAATACTGTATAAATGAAATTAATTTTGATTAAAAGTTAATGTAATGATGATCGATCGCGTGATATTTTTCTACGAAATAATACAATATCCTTTTAGAAAATATGCAACAGTTGAAATCAAAATGAGATTTATAATTACTCTGAAAATTCTATATCACGGCGGTAAGAACTTGTTCAACGAAAATTACACCTAGGTTCAATTTCTCTATAGTCTTTGGATAATGAAATAAGGGAAAAAAGAAATTTGATATTACATCATTTTATGTATGTGGAAATTTTAATAAAAAATTACTCAAAACGATGGTCAATTACGCAATATATTTCTATTAAATATTAATACAATTTCTTTTGGGAAAATATAACATATAAATATTAAAATTAATTTTATAATTGTACCAAAAGTTCTCTATTTCACGAAAGATTCCTCTATTTACAAGAATTTATTCAACAAAAAATAAATCTACACTTTGTTTCTAGTTTTATACTCATTAAATGAAAAAATAGAATGAAACAAGAATTTGATAATATATAGCTTTATTTGTATATATAACTAAAAAAAAAGGAAGGTATAACTAACGTGGAAATTTTTCATATAATTTCACCCAAAGGATTTTATAATTACAACGTTTACAATTGTCAAGTATACAGTAAAGGCTATGATATAGCAGAATTGATTATGGAATTCTCATTTGACTTCTGTTGGTGACTTGTCACTTGAAACGTTCATTTACATGTTAATCACAACATTATATGTTAATAACGACATGCTCCGATATGCTACACGAATAAAAAATAATAGACAAATATAAAATGTTGTTGTATACGTTGGTAGGAGGTTATATGTTAACGTCAATAATACTTTTTAAATATCCAACGTTATTACATAAAAAGAAACAAGTGAAATTTATGTGCCAGCATATCAGTCACAGAGGGGGTGTGTTTTGAAATTTTTGGTGATTAGATAATTAAGATCATTACATACATAGGAAAGATATATATACTAATAAAAAAATAATTTTGCAGGGGCAGGTGAAGGCTATGAAAACACAATGCATGCTTTTAAACGGTTAGTTAAAATTCTTACTCACTACTAGACTGTGGTTTTTTATGTATTTATGATAAATTTTAATGTGCGTTAAAAATCCAGTACATGTCATATACAAAAGTATGTAAAATATTCAAAATAAAGTGCTCATCATAATTTTTAGTGGGCGAAACAAATTATTATCTAAGTTCCAATTCTTTAATTCTTTTCATAAAAATATGAAATTACATAAAAATCCACAGTCTACAAATCTACTCATCATCTTAAGTGTGCAGCACAAAGAATTATTAAATTAACAGATATTTATCTAAAAATAGTTCTCTAAATTATTTTTTCTGGTTATACAAAAATTCACAAAAATATTTGTACACTTATGGAAACTTTTTATGAATGTATTATGTTTTGTATGTTATACAAAACATTTGAAATGTCATTTTTATTTACATTGTTAAATTGGTTTCAAATTTTGTCAATACAATTATCATAGCCATGTCTTGTTATGAATGTTACTAATGAAATTTCAACACATTTCATATAACACATATTATATACATATAAAACTTTTCTATGGTAAGTGTTCAAATAATTCTATGAGTTACTGCATATAACACTTTATGAAAATGTAATTTTATTCCAGAGCTGTAGCAATTGGTACACAAATGTTAGAATTGGATTGCCATTTAACAAAAGATGGAGAAGTAGTTGTATGTCATGACCATAATCTTTTACGTAGTACAGGCACAAATAAAAGTATTTCAGAAGTAAATTACAAAGATCTACCTCTATTGAAACCACGTCTTCCAATAGATTTTGATCCAGGTATGCTTAAACAGTTTTTAAAAAAATTACATTTTTGAATAAAATGATTTAGAAACTGTAGTTTAACAGATGTAGAATATATTGGCACAGAGAAGGAGGAAGATAGAAGATTTGCTTTATTGAAAGAAGTATTTGAAGCATTCCCTAATATACCAATTAATATTGATATTAAAGTTAACAGTGATGAACTTATAACCAAAGTATCTAATTTAATAAAGGAATATAATCGGGAGGAGTATACTGTATGGGGAAACTTTAATGATGACATAACACAGAAATGTTATAAGACGGTACCTAGTTTTTATAGTACAATATTTGTATACTAACATAATAATATTAATTTCAATTATTTTTTCTACAGAATCCTAATATAAATTTGTTATTTTCCATGAGACGTGTAACTCTGTTGATAGTTTTCTTATACACTGGTTTATTACCATTTATACCTCTAAAGGAAACACATTTAGAGATATTTCTACCTTCCATTTATTTAAGGTATTCTAAACATTTTATTCAGTATTGAATCTAATCTAGTTTCTCTCAATATTACATTATTATAGATGCAAAGGAAGTCCAAGTATAAAATTCTTACCCTTGGAAAAAATAATTATAAGGACTATTAATGTATTACTAATGAGGAAGTGCTTATTTAATCATTTAAGAACTCGAGGAATACATGTAAGTTAACGACTGTTTAGTTTAAATCTGGAAATATAATTCAGATTAAAAACAGTGCTGTTAGTAATAAGTATATGTTGACAAAATTTTTATTTATAGCATATAAAAATATTTAAATACGTTTTTATAGATCTATTTTTGGGTCTTAAATGAAGAAGAAGAATTTAAGAAAGCTTTTGATCTTGGAGCTACTGGTGTAATGACAGATTATCCTACAAAATTAAAATTATTTTTAAATAATTGTTCTATCGAATAAGACGCTAAATGCAATGAATGAGAATGATACTAATATATAAGATATATATAATATGTAAGATATTTATTGATGTACTTCTGAGAAGTACATGTACATGCTGTTATAAGTGAAGAATGTGTTGAACTTTTATTTGATAGGCATGTATTACTTACAGATTATGAAAAAAGATATTTCTATTGCTTATTGTATACTAACAAAAGGAAGTAAGAGCAGCTTGTTTCAAAAACTTGTACATACATAAGGCAGATAAAAATAAGTTTCAAGAAAATGAATAGTGACATATTAGTAAAATACAATGAGAAAAATAACTATAAAATGTGTGGACAAAGACACTTTTCGAAAAAAACATTCTAAAAAGATTTTCTGACGCATTCAAATATATTCGATATTTCAATTATATTCAAAATAGAAAGTTCACAAAGTTCGATAATCTAGTCTAAAAAAGTATTTTATAAAACCATTATCATAGATTTTTATATATTGAAAACTGATACACAAAACATGTTTGATTATTACAGCTACGTTAAGTCGCATTTATTACATAATTGTATTATTATAGTATTTTGTATGTACTAAAGCAAACAAATTGCAATTCACAGTCATTAGTAATAGGAATGCAAATATTATTAATAATATCGCACACATAAAGTTTAATTATTTATATAAGCTTTATTGCAACATATCTTTGAGTATAAAGATCAAGAAACTGATAAATAACTTACATACTTCTATATAAAATACTCCTTTAATTCGCTCGCGTATTTATATTCATCAAGAAGCTGATAGAAAATTAAAAAAGGATATATTTACATGTATGAGGGTACATAAATAATATACTCTATACATATATGCATTACAGGTACATTAATGGAATATAACATTGAGTATGATCTGCAATACTAGACAATTATAAAATGTAAAAGGAATCATATTCGTTATTTGATCACGAATGAGTGATAACCAGTTTAACAGAACTAATTACATTTCATTATATTTATTTGTTATATAATTACTCAAATTATACATTTTTCTCTATTAGTATTACTAGTATCATATAACTGTCTTAATTATGGTTTCAAAAATACTGCAAACAGTTCTTAATCTCAACTTGTATAGAGAGCAAATTTATATTATGCATAAATACGTGTACTTTTATATTTGGAATAAATTCTAACAATATTTGTAAGTTGCAATTTTATAATTCTTACTGGTACATAAATGTTATTTATTTGTCATGTTATTTGATCGATAATTATATCATATATTTTTGCACTTATCATTATGAAATTTTGTAATTTCAAATATTTTTTCATACTTGTATATTTATGTTGTATATACTTGTATATACTGTTTTTTCTGTTATATATCACACAAATTAATATGATATAATTCTATAATATATTTTATTTAAATGTATAAATTTTTTTTAATGATTCCTTTATATTCTTTTCCTAAATACTTCTAATTAGTAATTATACTCAAGAGTTATTACTACATTTATGGTAAACAATTTGCTTTGGTTTTTGAGTACAATCATCGATAGGCATTTGTACGTAAGTGAACACTTTGCCTTTACAGTAACAACAAAATTCCTTAGAAGGATGAGAATTATTAAAATGCTTTTCTATAGCAGAGTGATTTCCAATAATACTCATGTTGCAAATATTACAATATACGTTTGAGGATCGAAATCGTGAGTGTACTGAATCTGTAACAACTCGATCTGGATACTTATGATTTGAGTTGGTTGCTTGAGTATCTTGTGAGGACATTTTACTTCTGCAATACATATACAATGAATCACTATTACAATAGATGATACTTGTAACATAATTTTTATCTTAAAATGATTGCACTAAATTTTTACATGTATTTGTGAATATATTTAAACATCTAAAATGTTTAAACATACTAAATAAAATTAAAAAATGTAAGATATTAATGTTTTACTCTAATAATGTTAAAAAATACGCATCTTGTGGCAAAAAAAGTTTTAAAAAATAGGAGTAATAAAAACAAACTAGTGTTCAGAATACAATTTAGATAAATATTGTATTAATTAAGAAACGTATGTATTTTAAAATTTCTTCAAATTTTTAATATTTAGGTTAGAAAATTATAACCTAAAAGTCACATACTTACATGAGATTTCTTTTGATTAATTATAATAGTCGGCCAACATTGAACAATGTGCTTACTTTCTACTATCACATATACAAGATGTCTGCATTATTTATAATCACTTCTTATCTTTTATTAATACTTTTTTTACTATAATACAATGTACATTATATACTAGTTTTTCATCCAGGCATTCATGTACAAATAATAAGGAGTATGATTAATGATTTACAAACATGAATAATCAGCTAAGTTATGACTCAAATTATTTAATGTATCTTAATATATAAATATCTGTGACTTTTATCTGATAAGAGTTAATATCACAATCAATTAAATAAAATACATAAAATTAATTAAAAATTATCATATATTTTCTTACACAATGAAGTAGTTAAAGATACTTAAACTTGTAATACATTGTATGATAATTATATATATTTATATAGGTTTTATTTTAAAGTGTAGTCCAATGAGAGAAAACACTAAGCATTTCAAATCTTGTACAAGATAATAAAAGCATCTTAGTCCTTCTGGATCCCGTGATTGATTTACGTCTAATAAAGAACCAGTTTTTGAAGTCGTAAATGAAATATGTTCATCGCCAATTACAATCTCTAATTCTTGCCGTCCAACGCGATCTGGTTGTGGCCACAAAGAATCGTCCTCCTGCATAATTTCAGAGTCTTGAATAATCCTCTTTAGTTCTTCCATCACGCACTGATGTACATACGCTTCTTTTCGAATCATTGTATCATTCTTGTAATTTGAATTATTCGCATATCGTAGTTTACCATCAGGTCTAAATTCAAATTCGAGAAATTCATGACCGAATTTTCCTTTATGACCTACATAATATCGTATATAAAAATCCGTCGACATCCTATTATGATGATTTGTTGAAATGTAACCTAAAATGATGAATTCATACTAGACTTGCGTTTCAAAATACTAAAGCCGCATAAATTAGAGAGGTTATTTCACGTACCTTAAGATCTCTCTTTTTATAGTTAATTGATATTACTTATTTTTATCGTGAGAATATATGCACAATTCTGTAACGATTTCAGCAATAAAAGCTATTAATACTGAATATATTAAACATTAAAGGAATTACTTAGACAATGTTGTCATACGCGGCAATACCACAAACATTCCCTTAAGCAAAAGACACATTAAGGCGATTCATATGTAATTGCGACGTTCACATAAAATAAGATGATTCTCTTTTCTCATCCATTATACCTCATATTTATAAATTTAATAATCTAATTATTACTTTATCGATAATTAATTGGCATATTTCATTTGTTATTTTTTAGATTTATATTCTTTGACGGTAATAAATTTGTTAAAAGGAGACTTAGGAAGCACTTATGGCCTAGAAAAGATATTGACTAAATCAGCAAAGTATTAATAAATCATATTTTTACATAAAGAATATTCCAAAATGTGTTTTGTTTTATCTTACATTCAACAAATATCATACTAAAAATGAAGATCATTGTACATCGTTATTTGTAGTGTGAATCATCTCAAACTTGAAATTTGAATAAACTCCATCACACAGAATCGCACTTGTCGCTTGTCGCGGATCTACCTTCGTAACAGAACGTCGTCCAGTGATCATCCGGTGACATCTGAATTGTTAATTCTTGTTTGCCACGCAGTTGTCTCTATTTATATATTATTATTATCTCGAATTTATAATTCTGATCTAATCGAGAAACGACGTTACTCTTCGTACATCCTTTGCAATGGAAACGATCTATGAAAAATGTAACACAAGTGACATGTGGAAATATAATTTCAAATAGATCGTGTGAATCAAGTGAGATGTTTATAGTGTTAACTTTGATGTATGTACCAGGGTAGTAAGCTGAAGGATGAAATTATACTACTCGACGAGTTCACGTAATTTAAGCTCGTCATAGCGAAAGCTCGGTCGAACATCAGTTTATTAATAATGAACAAGACTCACATGGATAAAAGACTGAATCAATTGCCAACTTGGCTGTGGACTAATTCCACTACTTTACCACCAATCTATAAGATGGTATGGGAAGCGGTGAGAGAGGACAAACTCAGAACCAATGGAATGCAAACCGAGCTATTGGTCGATACAAACAAAGTCTTTCCTTTATTGCTCACTAGTCAGCTTCCTACAGAAGTCCTTGGACACATATGGAATTTGGCAAATCAAAAGTATGCTGGACAACTCACAGAGCAAGAATTATATATTGTTCTTGCTCTTGTTGCTGCAGCACAGGCTTCTTACACGTTCAATAGCCTAGATATATTACATCTACTTCCATTTCCACCTACTCCTTATTTGAACATTGAATGTTTAATGAATCTACAGCCTGTAACTCAGTTAAATTCTGCAGCTAAGTTTCAAAACCTTCAAGAAAGTTCTGAAATCGGGTTTATTAGCTCTGATGAAAGATATTCCTTGGAAGTTAAGGGAAAAATGAAATTGCATCAACAAGGAGTCATATCTTCAGACTTAAATGTGCAAATGACGAACAATGTACCTGGAAAAATTTCATGTTTTGATAATAAGTCTTATGTCTCTTCTACTACCATATGGGATTCAAATAATGTATCAAAGGATATGAAGCAAACTTCGCGCCCTCAATTAGATTCTAAACATCAACCAACAGCAGATCTGTGTGATGACTTTTCTGAATTTCAAAGTGCTCCAATTCCTAACATTCCTAATATTCCAATTTGGGATACAAAACAGGGCTCAGCCATTGGAAGTAGACTTGCAAATCATAATTTAGGTATTAAAAAACCAATGGAGAAGTCAAAGAAGAATAATATAAATGCTAAATCTGCTCATGGCACTACTCAAACACGTATTACATCTTTACCATTAACTACAATGTCTCAGAGTAAAGATCAATCAACATTGGATTGTTTATCAGAATTATTTCCTAAGTGTGCAATAAAAAATCAATCTAAAACAGTAATTCTTAAGGATACAGTGATAAGAAATAATGATCCGCCCAAGGACCATAGTGAGAATGTAAAAGATTATACAAGTACAGAAATTATAAATTTACCTAATGACAAAGATGTGTTGAATAAATTAGAATGGATGGATAAGGTAATTTAATCTTCATAAATTATATTAAAAAAATAGTAAAAAAGAAATTAGTTATAGCTAGAAAAATGACTAAAAATACTTTGTTATTTTTCAATAGTATTTATTAATAATTAAAAATTCATAATTAGGTTTCATCAACAACAATGGAATCCACTCAACAGGATCTTATGAATCTACAACTTGTTGAAGATAAATATAGTGCCTTGCGTGCATTGGTTCAAGAAACAACTGTGTCAACTGAACCAGAGGCAAACGCAAGTTACAGCAATCAATCAACTGATGAATTTGGAGAATTCGTGTCTGCAGAACAACCTGCTAGTAATACTCCTGCCACAAATGCTTTAGATACTGACAGTTTTGCCGATATTTTTACAGATTTTGAGTTTAAATCTACTAACAATAATAATGCAAACGCAGCAGATTTTAATCTTATGCCAGATATTTCTGAATCATTTGACAATCTTAAGCTTGAGGATAATGTAGAAGAACGCTCCTTAGAGATAGGTAATTGATGTTGTATATTATTTCTGATATTTAATTTCTTTTTTTATCATAGACAGTATCATTATAATTACATTTTACCTTAAGGGAAAGCTCTTCAGAAGGAAGATGCCATATCAATTAATAGTATAGAATTCATGAATGGTGCATCAAATGCATTAACTCGATCAGGATCTGTGCCTAGTTTAGATCTTAAGTCTTTCTTACCGTCAAATACTGAAGATGAGCAAATAGTAGATACTACACATCAGGTTATTGCGATATTATACATTACATATGTATTGCAAATATTTTTTATATATTCAGCATATATACAAAGAATATAAAAGAGGATTTATAATCTACTTGGTTTTACAGTCAGAATATTGGGAATGGAAGCAATACATGGAGAGCTGTGTATTATTATTACAAGTAGCTGCAAATATATTTACAAACATTAGTTCAGAACTTGTATTACATGAAGTTTTAAATTCAGTACAAGGATACAACTTTCTATGCAGTAAGTAATACTTCAAGAATTTATGTGAATCAATTAATTTCGGAAAATTATCGAATTACTTTCTTGTAGTGGTCTAAAATATATACCGCTATTATTGTGTGTTTCTTTTTTAAATCAGATTTAGCCGAAGTCGCAGCTGTTTGTAGACGGGTTAATTTTTCATATAAGGAAATGGATATCAATATAATAGGTTTTGATGAACTATTAATGGATATTGATCGAATTTGGGCAGAAATGGAACCATTTTATGCAAACATACCAGTAAGAAATATTACTATCTTATATAATTTTTATTAATTTAGAGTCTTAAGTTTATAATACATATAATACATGTACATATCTTATATACAAATACATGTCTCTATATCTTCGCATAAAACATTTCAGATTGTTACGGAATTACCAGCTTGGCCTTTACATCAAGGTGAAGCCATTTGTTGTTCACTTTGTTTAACAGTTATTACTAGTGGCAGGGTAGTTTATAATGAAAATAATTATCACGTTACTTGTGCTAATCTATGGCTTAATTGTGTAAACAATAATTTGCCCGTGATGCGGCATCCAGTCTGTTCTCATTTGAATATGTGTCCAGGTAACAATCATATTTGATATTGATCTGTATTAGAAAGAAAAAAACAGAAACTTACATTCGTAAATTTTTAATGTACACACATTAACTTATTACATGAGAATTTGTAGAAAATCAGAGCAAACTAACTTTGTATTTAGCTATAATAATTAGAAAATCAAATATTACCATTTTTTAAAATTTATCGAATAACACGAACATGATTTGAAAAAGTGATGTGGAACGTGTTTATGATAAGAGAAAATGGATTCCACACATGTTGTATATATTCTTTAAATTCAAATGTTTTCAAGATATTACTAACTAGTCTGTTTAAAAATCTGTACAGATATTGAGAGATTTAGAGGAAATATTAATATATTGTAATCTTTTGGAATTAGAGAAAATGTAAAGAGTCGCGAGCAAATCTTACAAAAATCTTAATTATAGTCAAAAAGGTTGAAGGAATTAGAAGAGAATTCTTGGAACCTGAACAAAAGTTCATATCAATCAAATCAATATAATATTTTCATGAAAATCTTATAAAATTCTTAGTGCAAATACTAGATAAATAATTACAATATTCTAATAAATAATATTACAAGAAAATATGGTAGTAATAATACAAACTTTGAAATTATCTTTGGCTTGTATCACGTGGTCTGTACGCTATTCCTCTGCTTTTCATCTCTCTTATAACACCTGCTGGTAATCGTCCTGATACTGATATTGCATATACACCTTTGCAAAACCGATCTGAAAGGAGAAAAAAAGATTGAATCTCACTTATTTTACAGCAAATATTTATAATTATTAGCAAGAGATTTTGTCCACTTATTTTGTTTTAAGTTAAATGAAAAAGACAGCATGTAAAAAATTAATGCAAAATATACATGAAATTAAAATATGTTAAAATAGAATCTTGTGTACGCACATAAGCATGTTCCTTAATAATTATACATACTGTCATACATATTAGTGAAAATTCTGTATAAATGTATAATAATATATAATATTAAGAATCTCAGATACACAAACTTATTAAATTGCAATATATATATATGTCGGAGATGAAAGAACATCGGGATTTCCCGTCCGGAATGTTGGGAAAAATCCCAATACCCTAGTTCAGACTTTTACTATAGCTGCACTTAAGTAATAAAAATAAGAAATAGTTTTAATGTTCCAATCCGATTTTGTGACAATGGGTTCGGGCTCGAAGTGACATAGCGGGTCACGGAAGGGACGTCTACCTGACGGAGGTATGAAATGATTATATGGCTCTCCTTAAAAACAAAGATTGACCCGAGAAGTGGGGACAGGAGTATATAAGGGCCGTGACCATGGCTACGTCTAGTGACCAGCTATGTCACTTCGAGCCCGAACCCATCGTCATAAAATCGGATTAGAACATTAAAACTGTTTCTTATTTTTATTACTTAAGTGCAGCTATAGTAAAAGTCTGGACTAGGGTATTGGGGTTTTTCCCAACATTCCGAACGGGAAATCCCGATGTTTTTTCATCTCCGACATATATATATATATATATATTGCATTGTTTTATATTAGTTGCATTTTTTGTATTGAAATATTGGCTTAAAAAACTTGTACAAAGTCCTGCCTTTCAATACATTTACAATATGGTATAAAACATGATATAGATTATTGTTATTTGCACTGCCAAAAATAATTATTAAAGAGAAAAAAAAAGGAAAGGTTAATACATTAGAAATTTGAAGCAGCATTAATAAAATGTAAGATGTCAAAATAATGTAGAATAAAGGATAACAGTTTATAGTATGATTTACTATGAGATAATGTAACTGTTATAATTTTGTAAAAGTGTACAAGAATAAAATAACGATATTTCTCTTGCTTAATCTTAACTTATTGTGTCTAGGTACAAATTTCTTACTTACTTATTCTTTGCCATTTGCAAACCCAGCTATCCTCAGGACTCATTGCAGCAATCATACTAAACATATAATATCAATTTTAGTAATTTGATTTCACAACAGGAAAATCAAATATTGTACCAGAAAACTGTTTATTATTTATATGACTTACCCATCGAAATTGGAGCTTGTACAATCAAAAACATTATCCTTATTATTCTTCATTCGTAAAAATTCATCGCAATTATCGCATCCATCAAATTCAAATTGATCAAATGTCTGTAAGATTAAAATTTTTAGTCATATAATTGTATGATGATAATTATATATATTATAGTTAGAAATAGAAAAAGGTATACCTTGATCAAGGAACATACTAAACAAGCTCTTAGGCCACGTAAATCTTTAGCCACGGTTTCCATTATTGCGTATTTTTCCACCTATAATTTTAATTTAATCTTTTAATAACATGTATTTTTGGCAATATAGATAATGATAATATTAATGTAATGTAAATAAATATATGATTTTCTACAAGTAATTTCTTCACTACAAGACAGTTTAATTATTACTTTTATAGTCTGTAGTTTATAGTACAGTATACACAGTATAACGTAACAAAATGCAATTTACAGCTACTTCGTAATATCCATTATTTACAGTATCAAAATAAAATCAAAATCTAGAGGAACGAGAATGTATATTCACAATTCAGAAGTATTCTAAATTATTCTAAAATATTGATTTCGTTTTTGACTATAACCTCTCAAATGAGACCGAAAAATCGGATATGTTTATCAAACTACTTTAAGCAATTATATCTGTTGCTGTTTAGTCAAATGTATCTGGCTTAGAAGTTCAATTTAACTAATTCAAAATCACTTTTATAGATTATAATACACTAATAATTATCACTACCACTTTTGCTTACCTCTTTGATACAATTTACGTCTTCTCTACTTAATAAGTACAACTTTTTAACAAGTTACTTCTCACCACGCCCAGCAATGGTCATGTACACACAGAGGTCTGGTTACGACTGAATAAAATGGATCCGAAACACTTATTTGCTGAAACAAGGCATACATCTGTTGCACACCATCTCTTTGTTTACGGCAAGTAGTGTGTTGCCATCTATCCTAATGCGATCCAAGTTACTGATCCTTCTATATCGAATAGATGGCAGCACGCAACTAGTTTGTAGACAAGGAGAGAGATAGTATGCAGCAAGGATAGCAATAACGATTAGTGTTACTCTTTCACCGCTACGTGGTGATAGTGTGGATGATTCGAAAAAATGCATATTAGTGAAAATAGCTAGTTGTGAGGATTAATTTAGGAACATTTATAATTTCATCTTTCGAAATAAACTGCTGTAGTAATTCCTTTTTTTAAATTTCTTTGTTTATAAATTAATTTGTTAATTAATTTAGTTTAAAATACTTCATGTTTATAAATCTATTTAAACTTTTTGTACCAACAAATATCTGATGCTTTCTTTCACGCCAAACATTTTTATTTTGATAAAAATAAAATAGTTCTGCTTTTTTAGGGAATTATTAAGTGGTATAAAATAATTTTTCATTTATATATCCACGTTATTTGTCATAGAAACTATCCTTTATCCTTAACAGTGTTATCATTGCGTTACAAAAGCTGCAATTTAAGAACCAATAAGTAACGTACTAAATGCGGGAAAATCTTACATTCTGCGTCGAAGCATTTGTCGTTTGTAGTGCACATAGGATGAAGGTGGGTTAGTTCTTCCGAATTTGTACATAAGAAATATTTGTTTTGAAAATATTGTAGTTCGGATATATTATTGAATTCTATCATTCTCCGTCTATGCACGTATATAGTTTGTATTTATTCTAAATTATTTAACTGACTCGCGTTTCTAACGGCCACTATCATGAAACCTGGAGGTGGCACAAAGGTTTCTACCGCCAAAACTGTTGCTTCTAAGGTTAGTGATACATGTAACGACGTTTTTCGTCACTTTTCATTTATAATAATCAATGCAAAGTAAACTATCGCTTACATTACAATTTTGCAAAAATTCCATCATTTCGTGGAATTTTATATATTAGAAATTATAAACATCTTAATTTATGAAACTCTTATTTTACCCATCTTCTTTTATTTACAAACTTTGATTATTAATTAACCGCCGTTTTAAATGTTGGGTAACGATCTTAAGTTGCATGTGGATCATTACTGTAGGAAATTCATTTATTTTGTAGGATCATTTATTTTGGAAATTTATCAGGGAACAAACACGTCAAAGTAATTGAAAATAAGTGAATTTATACAATTTTTATGGGAATCCATTTAATAGAGTATTAACCAAAATTTTGTTTCCATAGATGGAGTTCTATTGTATTACAAGTTCATTTTGCATGTCATATTTAGAATATCTTCTCTTACTATCCTTATTTTGTACTTCCTAATTTCTTTTATATCTTTAGCATGGCACATGATCCAGGTAACATAATTAGAGGCTTCATCATATGTCATATTTTTTATCTTTTATTGAAACAGGATAAGGTCAGAAAGTCTTTGCACGTTTTGCAGCCGACAGCCACTAACAAAGAAAATCTAGTTGGTGGTAGGAGGATGCTGAGATCTTCCCTATCAGGAAAAGAAACACATAAAGGGTAAATAAGTTTTACAATTTGCTTGTTTTATATTTTTTAAATGTCATATTTAAATTACATTTTATTTTTTAGCGAAGTAAATGAAAAATCTAAAAATGAAGAGAAACCAAAACGTAAGAAAGTAATTTTAAAAGATAAAGCAGTTCAAACCGCAAGAGGAGGAAAAATAAAAATTGAAGTCGAAGACTTAACATCTGAAGGTATGCTTTTATTCAAAAGAAAAAATTAGGGGAAACTATGATCCTTCATGTAATTATTGAATTATTGATTTTGGAAATATTTGTTTCATGCTTGCAATAGCTGGACCTAGTGAAAACTACTGGGAAGTCTTGGCTGAAAGGCGACGGATGGCGCTTGAGGATGCGTTAGAAGATAACAAAGAATTGACTGAGCGTGTTGAGAAATTAGAAGAAGAAAATCGCATATATAAAGAAATGTTGGAAGAATCGAGATCACTAGTCGAAGTTTTACAGGTATTGTAACCAATCCTACTTCTGCAATGTTCAAATTCTCTGCAATTAAATATAACATTGTCTTGCAGGAAATGCTTGGAGAAGATAGAAATGACATAAATAATTCTTTAGAAGATACCATTTAATCTAATGTTCTGCACTCACGTACTAATTAGTGCCTTATGTTTAAAATACAGTGCTTTAAACTAGGCACAATGTGTAATCTACTCGTTAATAATAAATATTGATGGGGTGCGTGATTAACAAGAAAGTCTGACTGAGTAAAGATCCAATAAACTAAAAATGGAGACATTTGTTGGTGTTTCTAAATTCATTTTAATTGTCTTTGGTTACTTATTCATATTACTTTATCATTTAATTAATCAACTAAGACCATAGCTGCAACTACAGATGTATTTATCTCATAGAATATCACTTAATATAGTATAAATGTTAGATATTTTTGATTATAATTAATAAATTGATTTTCTAATACGAGTTGAAATTTTCTTTCATTACCTTCTATCTGAAAAATTCGTGGTTCGTGTTACATCGTCGTTAACAAAAAATAACGATACTAATCGAGCAGATTGCTAGCATCACATGTTTATTTCATAAATCTTTGGCGTAGAAGACCTTGAATTCCATCGATAACATCAATGCTATAACATCAGTTCCCTTTTTTGTTATGACTGGTATGTTTTGTTCACGCATCAGTCACAGCACTACATGTTCGAGGAAGCCGTTTTATTTATTGCATCGTTTTTCGGTAAAAATAATTATACATTCATTGGAAGGCTGCCAGGAAAGTCGTGCGTAAAAATGTTGCTGAACGCGTTGCTGAATGCCAGATGCGCAAAAGCGAACTTTTTCTATTTCTTCACTGTTCTCCGCCCGAGGATTTCGCCTGAGCTTGTTTCGTTTTTCTCATTTCATATTTGGAGAATGCGCCGTTTCCTTGATGATCTATTCAAATGAACAGCAGACGGACTCGCGATCCGCGAATCGTATTAGGCGGTTGAATGTCGGGTTTGCACTGCGGAACGCCATTAAGAAGCGTCAAAGTAAGTCCTTAATCCTCGTCTTTGAAGCGGCGATAGATGGACTGTACGTAGGTGAAGACGCACTTCCAGTCTGGTCGGCGCATCATCACCATGTCCTCGACATCAAGTAACGGTGCTATCCCGGCGAGTTCACTACAAACATTTAATCACTCTTTAACATTGGTGATACTTAAAGAATATTTCAGAAATCATAAAGATCTAAGTTACATTTCTAAGATCTAACATACAATTTAATATGTTAAAGTATTTATAAGTTTGAGTAAAATCAATTGTCTATCCAAAGTCATACACTACGCGTACTAAATTTCTTCCACTATATTTTCATTTATTTTACAGATATAAATGCCTGTTTTATTTCAAATTCAACAAATATTTTTTGGAGGGACACGTCAGAACCATAAATAATTAATTTATATAAAAACTATAGAACATCAGGAAAGTAGCTATTAGACGATACAAAAAAGAAAGTCCGAAGAAAGACTGAAAAAGAAAGAAGAAGAAAGAAATTGAAGTTTACTCGGCTTTCGTAAACGCCAACTCGAAGTTCATTTTGCGGTTCTCCGGCCGTAGCGAGTGATAGTCGAAAGCGTCTGGTCTAAAGTGATGAAGCAAAGCGCAAAACGCCAATCCATTGTTCCAGCTCGTCGAGAAATTATCCAGTTGCACGTTCTGCAATAGAAAACGCAGCTATGCAACGCGATTCACTAATTTTCCGAACATCGTAATTTTCTCTCGGCTATTGATTATTCGCGTGTTTTCTGCAAATAACATAGACGCTCTCGCGTGTGAAGCTCCATTTACAAGGCGGATTTACCTCGTACTCTTTGGTTTTGGAACGGCACCACGCCAGTAGCCGCTCTTTTATTTGCACCGCGTTGTCCCGCACCGCTGGCTCGGTAAACTTGAATCGAAACTCTGTTGCCGGTGACTTTACGGGACTAAATATAGAAGGAAAAGCCTTCGGTTAAGCTTTCGAAGAAATGGAAGGTGCATATAAATATAAAATGTACGGCGGATTAAGTCAATTAGCGAAGATTGCGCTTGAACGATTGCTTATGACTTAATTTTCAACTTTATTTAACAGTAATAGAGAACAGTAACAGAATTTAAATCGAGTTTAGTTTCAACCATGGAAAATTATGTCTGTAAAGATATATTTTATTTACAGATTTTAGAATATTGATCTAAAAATTCCAAATTATAATTAGGAATTGTTAAGTCCATATTTAATTTCTAATCTACAATTTTTCGAATATTTGTTTTCTAATTTTTATAAGCTCTTTCTATTATTCATTTTATAATTTAAATGAACCTACTATCCTAAATTATATCTAATACTCTGGTCGTCGTTACAGTTAAGTAACAATAATTATTCCAAGGAATATAAGTTTCATATATTTTTGTGGTACAACCGAAATAGAGAAACCAGTTGTCTAATAATATCCATTCTTTCGCCGATAGTAAAAACGAAAATACCTATTATATAAATAAAGAACTCTCGTAAACGATTACCTGGGTGACGAGGCGGCGCTATTTTGTCTGTCGAGTTCACGAAACTTGGCAAACGGCGATAGCGGCTTCTTACGAGCTGAAAAACGAATAAAACGATTTAAATTGAAGATGTATTATAAAAAAAAAAAAAAAAAAAATGAATCATAAAACGTTAGGGTTCATTGAAATGCATTCTGTCATCCCATCTTATGTTAATTTCTCTATCATCTAATTAAAAAAGTTTGTCAATGAAAATCGCTAAATTTGTGAGAATTATTATTAGGACTGGGCAAAATTCAAAACTAAAAAAATAATTTAAAAATTAAATTAAAAAAAATAAAACAACTAAAACTTTCGTTTCTCAACCTCGTCGCTGTTCCTCGATTCGAGGTTGCTGTTTTCCTTTTTCCAATCTATTTAACGATTTAAACGATAGATTACAACATTTTGTTATAACACACGGTCGTTACAAAATCATCTTTCGTTCCCGATTTCGTGATTCGAGCCGCAACGAGGCGATGACGAAATCGCTCCAATAACAAGAAACACGTGGAGCTGAATGTAAAACTAAAAGACTTCTAATCTAAATTGTGTACTCTCTGTGTTCGTGTGAGGATAGTTAGCAGCGAAACTCTTAAATAAAATGCAAATAGGAGCCGAGGTTCATTCTGGGTCACAGCAAATTTGTCACTTTCTTTTATAATAGATGAAAATTACAGAGGAAGCACTCGACAAGCCACATTTGCTACTCTTTTAAATGGAAATTTCAGTTTTTTTTTTAGCGAATTCATCTTTTATTTATTTATTTTAACAATTATTTAGAGATAATATTATAATACTATTATTATAAAATTGCGTTTTTATCGGCCTTGCAGCTAAACGATATGTTCAAAATATCGCCTGTCATAATATTAGAATATCGAAGATATTAAACTATTGCTTGTCTTAATCATACCGTTGAATTGTATCAAACTTTCTCAACTCGTCGTTATTATTAGAATGTTTACATATTTGAACCTAGCGGATTTTTTGCATTGTCAATTATTTTTAATCGTAAAGTGAAACTAAAATAAACAAATCTACAATAATATAATTTTCATGTTATCCTCCTGTGAATCTTCATATAATTATCAACGAGCAGAATAAAACATACATATGTTCGAATAAAATGTACGGTATGCATACATTTCATGTATACGCATAATTTTTAAAATAACGATCTCCGCGCCATAGAATCGAAATTTTTCATTCTATTTGCCAAAAGCTATTATATGACAACCAAAATAGGTCACAAATTCGATATAGGTAGCTGGAAACAAAGTTCAACCGAAATGGGTATTCGTGTGTAAATTTCACACACTCGTACCTTTTTGAGTGGGTGTATGTGTGCGTTTTGAACACACGGAAAACATGTGGCGATTTATATATATGCGCATATGTAATGGTATATATTTTTCCGGCGCGAAAATGCAAAAATTGAAATCGCCAGAAGCAATTCCTCATTGATTCCGCGAACGAAGACTTGGAAACTTGGCTGGCGCGTCTCCCGATTCTCTTTCTCTCTCTGTATTTACAATCTGCAAATAAATGCACGTGTACGGGGCACGCTATTTTTGTGTCGATAGAGGACGAATTGCTTCTCCGTTAATCGAAGAGCCATTCGTTATTTATTGGAACTTTCTGATCGAAGATCCATCGTGAGAGCACTTTTTGATTCTATTTTAAATTCCATTTTAAAAACTTGAAATCTTATTTTAGAATTTTACTTTCAATCTTATTTTAAACGTTTGTACTTGATAATTGTTAAATACTCATTTTTCTTTTCGTTATTTAAAATATTTTAAAAGTAAAACGAGAACCCGATACTGTGTTTCTTGATCTGTCAATGTTTGTTTTATTAATTTTTATTATTTTTTATTAATTTTGTAATTTCCAGTCAGTCCTTTTCGTAACGTCTTCGTAAAAGAAGTATTTTTTCTAAGAATCTTTCTTAAAGTACTGTACATTTTTGTTGATCTATTCTACATTAGCTTTAACTATTTTCTCAGTCCTTTCACTTTAGTGTAAGCTTTACGATGTTTTTCTTCGTCGTGATTATTGTCAGTTGACACACACAGTAGAATCTTAGTTTATTCCGGATTTAACGAATTTATAATTAGTAGTTATCATTTCTTGTTTAAATTAATTCATGTAAATTATATTAGTAAGTGAGAAAGGAAAGCATGTCGAGTCACGAGTGTTAATAGAGTGAATGTCAATTTATCTATTTAGTAATATTCCTCGTGATTCTGTGATCTGCTAATGCAGCAATCAATGTGACATCATTCTCCATTTCCGCCAAGAATCCAAGCGTCGAGTGTAGGATATAAATCGTGCGTAAATTAAAGATCATCAAGCTTCCGGTATTTTTTTCCATCATCGTTTAATTTTTACAATTGAACTGTTTTAAGGCTTCTAAGTGCATATTTGATCCTTTAAAATGTTCTCTGACTGTATTGCAATTAGATTCGTTAGTTTCAAACAGCTTCAGGATTGTGTGTGTTGTCGCTTGTTTTATGGGGGGACATTGTCCAAGTATTTAAAATTGAATTTTCACGTAATTAAATTCTTTAGCTACTATATAAAGATATATATACCGAAGAAATAGGACACAAAATATTGTATAAAATTTAATAAAAGAAAACTGGTACAAAATCTAATAATAAATTGTACGGAAGCATTGACTCAATAAATAATAATTCTATTGCCAAATAAAAGTATTCTTCTGTACGTAATTACTCTACACATTTTTTAGGAATTTAATTATTAGACTATGGATGTTTATTCATTTATAGAAAATTTATAGAAACTACTAAACGTTCGAATATTTCATTGTAATATTTATATTATAGTACTTAAGAGCAGATCTCTATTTAGGTTCTACTACTTTAGTTCAATTTAGTTCATAAAAGTATGCATAAAGATCCACTGTCTATCAATTATCTCAACTAAAATAGTAACACGGTGATACTTGGCAGTTATTAATACTCGACGAAGAAGTAAGTGGGATATAAGAAACAAAAATCTGTCAAAGGAAGTAAAACTGGACGTGAATAGTCAGACAAGGTCCCCCTCTTGCATTCTACTGCACCTAGATGTACTAATATACAGTAATGAACAAAAATATCACCACAAACCAGATTTTCTTGTAAAATTCTGTGTAAATTTATAAAATTCACGGTTCCTTTTTTCAATTCTCTTTTGTTGCATCGTCAAAATTCATTAAGCAGCTGTGCTATAAAAATAAATAGCAAAAAATAATAAAATAATAAAAAATGTATAACGAGTTGCCTTTACAAATTATATCAATGACATTAGTTATGCAAACTAGTATTATCAAATAAGTTGAAGAAACGTAACAATCAAATATTTTTCAAAAATCTTGTATCTTCAAATCTACAGCTATTTTATATTGAAATACTTCTGAAATACTTCTTCTAAATTGATCAACCGTTTCCAAACTCTACTTCTCATATAGTGCATTTCGTAATTATAAAACCATTTAATAACATTCAATTTTTGTATACTGCGTTACATATTCTTATACGTTGATGTGATAAAGAAAGAAGTACATATTTCGTATTTAGAAACAATTTATTCTTTTTCCCCGCAAGAACAGTGGATTAAACGATAGACTAAAGAAAACAAGAAAGAGAAAAAAGATAGAAACTAGTTTATTTCTATTTTATAACAACAGCACCGACATAATAGAATATTTTTGATATTACAAAAATTGAGCTCAGGATACAATAAAATGAGATTGTTGTAAGTCTAACTATAATTTTGCACGATTTTGGTCAGATTTTACCCTGTTCTACCTTCCATCTCGTACTGAACGATTTAAGTATTCAAGATTTTGGTTCTATAGTTACGCAAGGTATTTCACAAGAACGTTGAGCAAAGAATCGTGTTTTCCCAAATTCACACATAAGTTTATAGAAAATAGGATGTTATGTGCCAACAATTTTGTTCATCACTGTATGCTACTATTCAAACTTCGTGCACAGTCCGGCTGGTGCAAGCTACACGCTACTGCGCGTCAAAAAAGGATCAACAAAAGAAGGGCTGTGACTCACTGCTTTATTCGGGCTTTGGCACGACCTTCTAGCGACTCTGAACGTCCGTCCGCAAAACGTGTTCGCGCGCAGAGCGCGACTCGAGGCTTATTAAAAGAAGAAGAACAAAAAAAGAAAAAGAAAAGAAGAAAAGAAAATTAAGAAAAAAAATGAAACATGAAACAAACAAGAGTGAAAAGCGCACATGGGGCGTTTCTTCGACGCGAAACAAGAGAGGAAACTTTCTCCATGAGAAAACGCGCGCCCCTTTTCGTGCTGAACACGCGAGCAATAATCATTTTAGCATTCAGTCTTGTTTCCTCGACGAACGACCTTTGACGTTGGCTCATCTTTTCTCTGTTCAAATTCGTGCAGATCCACTGCTTTTCTTTTTTTTTTGTTCTTTTTTAAGTTTCTATATGAAGATTTATTATTTTTATTTTTCACTTCACTTGAACTCCCTTTTGGTAGCTTCGAAGCTTCACTGAATGTCTTCTCTGTATTATAAGTCGCGTCATACACAACGAATAATGTTGTTAATTAGTTGTGTATAATTCTCGTCGTTAGTTGATCTCCTCTGTCGAAATGCACATAGATCAACTGGTTTCGGTAACTCCTCTTTCTGATTTTATTTCTATACGAATATTTATTATTTTTTATGCTCACTTCACTTTAACGTATGTATGGCTTTCGACGTTGGCTTGATCTCCTCTGTTAAAATCCACGCAGATCCACTGCCTTCGGTAATTTTTCTTTTTTTTTTTTTGTTTTGTTGTTGTTTCTAAGTTTCTATATGAAGATCTCTTATTTTTATTTGTCACTTCACTTAAACTTCCTTTTGGTAGCTTCGAAGCTTCACATAATGTCTTCTCCGCATCACAACAAGCAACGCTGCCAATTAAATATTACAACGTTATCTATCACTTGTTCCTCCTCACACAGTTTTATATCCATTTTTTCTACTCGTTCCCTTTGATTTCTTAATTTATGAAAGACACTCTGCAACGTCGCGAGCAGATCGATAATTGTCCAAGACGTACCTCAGATTCGGACACGATACTAGAGATCTTCTCCTAAGACAGGAGGATAATTACAATTATCGACGACTAGAAATCGTGAATTTTTTCCACAACCAGAATCGTTAGTATAAAACAAATCATCCAGCTGCACCAAGAAATAGCGGATCCAAGAAGATCCAATATGACGTCCTGTATTCCTCAAATACACGTCACGCTAAATAAACGAAGAGATTCAAACCAATTTTATTACTGATTATCCGTCCTCGTAGCTTCCTCGAACAGATCGTCGAACACTTTGTCAACATCTGCGGTGTTCACGTTTAATAATGGCATTTGTTGAGGGGTGGTTATCGAAAGACACAATTTTTCATCAGATAAACCAGGCATAGTACGACTACGAGACAGTCCAACCATCCCTTTAGACGCAAATCTAGGAGATCTTCTGTGTTTCAAAGAATCTTTCGATTCTACGTGATCACCTGGTTGATCGAAATACTGTCTGATCTTATCTTCCATCTTCTTGACGCTGTCTGCCATTGACGACGCTTCAAATTGTTTGGACCTCAATTTCTGAGAAGATGGAGACTTTGGTTTCGGTGGTTTTGGATGAGAGCTTTGAAACAAAGATGTCGATGCTGGTGTGTTTATTTTAGGTGCTCGAGGATAACGATTGGAGAGAGCCAATTGGTGCCAGGACTCTGATTTCGAGAGCACTATAGATCTAGAGGTTTTATTCGCACAAGATACCAAATATTCGTCACTGGAGTCGATTGGTACCGCTCCGTTTGGAACTGGAGAACGTTCCTTGTGAATTGATTTCGATTGAGGGTTTGGCACCTGTTCGTAAGCTTCCCGTAAAGCAACCACCCTGTTCACGGTCACTGGACCTGGCGAACGAGCTCGAGGTGGCTCTGGCTTCTTCTGAGGAACTGGTGTTAGATATTTAAATCGACTTGGTCCTTGGGAACCTGTCGGTCGATCGAAGTTTGCTGGTTGATTGTATCTTTGTTCCTGCTGAATTATATTCGATTGCTGATGGTAAATATTTTGATTAAAAGTCGATTGTGGATGGTGCACATTCTGAGTCACGTTTACAGGTTGTTGATGACTTAATGGAATATTTGGTTGCTTGTAATTTTGCTGTTGATGACTTGATGCGATATTTGATTGGTCGAAACTCTGTTGCTGGTAACTGGATGCAATATTCGGTTGATTAAAACTCTGTTGCTGATGATTCAACACAGTGTTTGATTGATTACAACTTTGCTGTTGAGGAACTAAATTAGGAGATTGACTCGAGGATTTAGTCTGAGCTTGACTGACAGTCAGGTGTTGTCCGAAATTAGAAGATTGATGAGGTTGATCATTCAAAGAAGTGATTTCATTCTGCAGGCGACGAACCAAGCTCTGTTGCAGCAAGTTATGTCGACGAATTTCATCCTCTGAAGCAATAGTCTCGTTAGTTGGTGGTCTAGACCTGGACCAAGAAAACTGCGAAGGAGAAGGTGACGAAGACGTCCTGGAATCCACTGCCACTTCTTCTGATCGAGGTTCAGGACTATCCACGGACGATGCAACCGTTGCAATAGCACACGTGTACCTTGTAACCACTC